TGCTCGAAAACGGGATTTTTTTTTACAGCGGTGGCGGCTGGGACTTCCTTATAATGCCGCTCTCTCCCTTCCCCCCCCCCCTCCTCCTCCCCGGTCGAATAATAAATATTGAGCCATCGCTCGCCTTACCTCGTGTTTGTTGTTTCGTCTGCGTTGGCTGCTTTGTCTAAGTTTCTCAAGTAAAAAATTTTGGAAAAAAGGGGATGCCATCCTGCCCTCACTTTAAGCACTGACCCCGATATCATTCCAAAAAAAATCCCCTTGCTTTCGGTCTTCCAAGAGTATTGTATGTTTTTGCTTCTTGGTGTTCATCCAGCACTCCTCGGGAAAATGTCTCAAATTTAATCAAACTAAGTTCTTTTCATTGTGGTTTATATCAGCGCACGTAATCAGAGGGGGGGTCAGAGAGGAGGGTCCCCAGAAATGGATCAAGATCAAGTCAATAATGCAAAAAAAAGTTTGAACGCAAAAGCGCGGAGTCTTCGCAAGAATGCGGAGACTTTAACGTGCCGGAAAAACTAAGAGGGAAGGGGAGAGGGGGGACGAAAGAAGGGAGTTGTCAGAGGAATCGTCTCCATCCCGCACCCCAACCTCCGCCCCTCCCCCCCCCCGTCAGCAATCAGCTGAAAAGAAAAACCTGGACCCTCCCCCGCGTTTCCCCACTCCCTGTTCTGGGGGAGAAGTTCTGGCGATAGAATCAGGATAAAGTAGTCATGGGTCTCCTAAAGAGAGGATGATTGGGAGGAAACCAGTCTAAATAATAAATCTGTTTAGTCAACGTGCTTAGGATGGACAACTGGGACGTTCTAATGGCCCATAGTCTTCCATGGCAAGAGAAATTCTTGCACCTTGATTGCTGTGATAATTCTTAGCTGTGAGAAGTGCAACGCTGCTATAATTGATCTCCTTCCGGAATACCAACTCCACCCTTAGATAGGGTTATTTCGTATACTTTTCACGTGCTCCTTTGCTCCTCTCTTTTTGGATTTTCAGCGATGCCTTGAAAATCTAATCTCGACCTCTTTGAATGCATTTCCCTTCCCTTATCTGATTGAAGCCATCCCTTTGACGGGCTTTGACAGTTTAACGCCCGCACAGGGGCTCAGAATCAGGACACCCACTATACCCTGCAGGAAAATGATCCGGGTCCGGAAAGAATATTAGATCCGGAGAAATCCTTGCCTTTCCTGGGGTCACGCCTCCAGCTCCTTTTTTTTGTCTGAGGCAGAATCTCAAGGGGATTCTACAAGGAGCTCATTAGCACACCACCAGGGATTGTGCCAATTTTCCAACGAGATTGCCATCGGACATGTCATGTCTGTGGTGTCTATGACGTAGAGATTCACATGCCACTCTTCACACGTTGACTATGGCCGCAGACGCTATAACTTTTTTTTCATTATTATTTTCTCCCCCCCCCCCCCTAGTTTTAAAGGTATATCGTCTTCGCCTTATGGTTTAATGAATTTGCTCAGTTCGGGGCTTTCGAGATCAGCACGAGATGTGATGGAGTAATATCTTCTGTTACAGATAACTTTGCTAAAGGGGCAATAATTTCGGTTAAGTCATTGTAATTATAATCGAATCGCTGCCCTTCCGATTACGATCTGCATATAAGTGCAGTTTCTTGCACTTTTAAAGAAAAACCGGAGATTTTCATCACCATCAGAGCACAACGATTCTATGGGATATACGCCATTTTGTATGTGAAAGGCCACCAATGAACATGGAGTGCATGGGAATTCCTTCACCTGTCGATTTGGTGTTGGCCCCCCCTTTGTGCGGGTGACAGCCTGAACCCGCCCAGGCCGGGGAAGGTTACCAGCGTGTCTACGCTTCTTTTTCCATCGTGCGGTGACATTGCGTACCGCACTTCGGGCCGGGTCCATAAGTCCTGCGTGAGTTCGAGGGGACTTTCATTAAACGACACCCAACTAATTCGTTCTCTTAGAACGGAATGAGCATCCATCGTGCTGAAAGCCGACGTTCCATATCATGGACAGGCCCCGTATACCTGCTGCCACGTCGTTAGAGGCCCACGGTGACGTTGCACCTTGTCAGTCATCGCTTGCATGAGTAGGCCTTCACTTTTGGCTGTATGGAGCCTATTCGTGAACGGGAGGTAATCTACTCTTGAGTTGGGGCAATTATAGAACTTGTTACGTTGAAGAGTACATTTGAATGCAACAAACGAGATATACAGAAGCTACTACTCTTGGAGACAATGGGCTTATTCGTTAGATAAGAGGAACTACTTGCACTAATCAGTTTAATCCTTAAATGGCGCTACTCTTCGTTGAACGAACAGACCCAGTATTACCGGAATCTTCAATTCACTCGGTCTTAACTAAGTATAGTTCATGGAGTGTATTTTTGGATTTTAACGCTACCCCGTTGGGAGATGCGTTATCGAGTCTTTCGAATCAACTTAGCGAACGGGAGACACGTTTCCGCTGCAATCATCGACATATCTCTCTTTCCCTCTCTGTGTTATCATTCGATTTAACTACCAAGAGCAAAGAGAAGCGCGGATACGCGTATCCCGTCCGCTAAGCGGGAAATCCGAAGGTCTCTATATTGCGTCTCCCGAAACGAAAGAAATGCTGGGATTAAGGCAAGTTCACGTCAACCGCATAGCACAGCACAAGCTCTTGAGAACTCATGGATTCCTTCTCAGCTCTTCTCATAGGCCCCCTCAACATTCTTTGCTGTGCTATGGGGTTGGTATGAACGAGGCTTAATCCTCAAGTAGCGCTACTCTTCATTTAACGAACCGCCCCATTGTGTATCTCCGGAATGCAATTTTGTCTGAAGGATTGAACGTTAGGGAATGGCGTCCTGATAAAATTATTTCATGTGCATTCAAGCCACATTTTTCTCTTCTTTTTTTCAATATCTCTTCTCTCTTGATTAAAGAGAGTCGGAAGGAATCTGGCAAAGGGAGAATATAGAGAAGAAAAGAAAAGAAGAAAGATTTGTAATTCTTGCCCTTAGAGCAGCGATTGAATTCCGTGTAAGTGAAGGAGGCATTCATCTTCATGTAAGGATTTTTCAATGATGATGCCTGTGATGATGTGAGTACTGTGAGTCGCTGGGTTTATCGTATGAACAGCGGAGAAAAGTCATTAGGAATAGGCGTGTTTTCATCTCTCATAGCTGTTGATGGCCGACCGATACGATCTCTTGTTACTTCCTGTTCTATTTATATGACTCACCCAATAACGCACAGTACTTACATCTACACTTGCACTCCCATGAAATAAGTAAAAGGTTTTTTCGACAATGTCTATTGGTAGTATTCCTTCGCTTGTAATAAATTCAATCGCTGCTATTTGGATAGGAATCACGAAACTTTGCCAGAAACGGCAGGAAATTTGAAAGTATCTGTGTGTGCATTTTGAAGCTTGTGCCATGGGTAGTTTGTGATGAAGAAAATAAGAGGCTTTGTTTTGGGAGTACCCTGCTTATGATTCCTCGATGTCTCCAACTCATAGCCATGAAGCTCTCTGGGCGTCGGTCCTGCTGTGACGAGTTTGGGATTTCAACTCAAGTGCTGCTTTAGTAGATTACCAAAAGCACTAAAAAGTACTCTTTTTTTTTAAAGCGCAAAGGCCGATACATAACAACAACTACTAGACATATATCCAAAAGTAAGGCGCCATTGTACTCGTCTCATTCGGGCGTGTCTATTTTGGGTGTCAAATATTCATCTAATACCAGAAGTACTTCCTGTCCTAGAGTGAAATCGGCCGGTTGGTTTTCGGTCACCAAAGAACATGTCACGGTGCAATGGTCCCCTTTTAGTTTTCTTAAGTAATGAAAAATCTTGATTATCGACACAGGCTGACCTTGAGCAAAAAATTGACTGAATTCATATTAGAAAAGGAAATGTATTCCCTGTTTATTTACCAGGATAGTGCAGTTCATGGTCAATATATTTGAAACATTTAAAGTGATAATTAATGCAGAACCGTAAAGGTTTCGTCAATTTCGCATTTGAGCCGATTTGCATAAAAAATTAAGGCTTGCAAAAAAGAAGGGAAAATACCGCATCAAATTTTAGAGGCCCTCGTCCTTGGTGCCAACTGAAGGACCCCAAGTAGCAAGGGATCATCCCTGGGACATCCCATTTGGATCCTACGTGGGACAAAATGCCATCCCATGGATGTCATAATGAAATCGTCCCGGGATATGGAAATCCCTGGAGCATTCAGAGGACATTATGTCCTCTGAATGCTCCAGGGATTTCCATATCCCGGGACGATTTCATTATGACATCCATGGGATGGCATTTTGTCCCACGTAGGATCCAAATGGGATGTCCCAGGGATGATCCCTTGCTACTTGGGTATCCATTAAAGAGTCCTCTATCCCAGGGGTGTCCAGCTGGCGGCCCGCGGGCCGGATCCGACTCGCCAATTCATTTTCTCCGGCCCGCAAATTCCGCTTCAACAGTTGATTTCGGAAAATTGCTACAAATTTCACTTGTTCGCATTGAAAATGTGGTGTATGTGATGTGAGATTCGTTAGTGAGGCCCCCAAATTGTGTTGGACATCCTGCGACAACGTATCAGACACGGGCATAAGAACTTACCCCGAAATGACTTTCATACGGCTCCAAGCATCTTGGAGGGAGGGCGGGAGTGGCAGAGGAGGGAGTTCCGCCTATGCCAGAACTCATTCTATGAGGAACGTAAATATAATGGGGATAAAGATGCGCAAAATGTATCTCTCGCCCCCACGCTCGGTATAGTGGAGGGGATTTGCTTCCTCATCAGGCGTTATTCTACCCTCCTGTGAAACAGACTCCCAGATATGTCGAATTGGAAAGTCCATTAGGAAATTCCCGTGATAGAGATATTCAAGTACTGATTGTCGTTTAGTGCAATTAGCAGATGCAAAAGAGCAGATGAAATCTCTTCTTACTTAATTAACTCAGAAGCAATCAGTTGAGCATATTGAATTTTTTTCGATATAGGAATGGACACCTTCTGACACACATGAACAAAAAACCATTCGAGTGCAAGGCAGAAGGGTGCAACAAAAGTTACTGTGATGCTCGCTCCCTACGCCGGCACACAGAGCATCATCACACCGGGAGCAAGGTGAACGCTGCAGTCCTGCAAGAAGCTGGGTTCTCACAGTCGTTGGACTCGCCCGGTTTCTCGGAGCCGGTCACACCCACGTCCACTTCACTCCTTAACATGGAACCGGTGACTCCTACATCTGCTGGCGTGGTCATACTGTCGTGCTCGAATTCAACACCTGAAGCGAAGATCAAGGTAGAGTCGCCGACTGGTGGGGAATCCTACTCTCAGCAACAGCATAATTCAGTTCACTTGTCTCCTACTGTGACTTCTACATCGTCAACCTCCTCTGCTACTGCTTCCTCTGTGAAGCTTACTACCACCACTACTGTGCACAATCAGGCAGACTCCAAATCGCCTACGCAGCATAATCATCATCATCATAACCATCATGCCAGTCAGGAGAATCGGCCCAAGCAAGAAAGATCGTATGCTGTGAGTTCCTGAAGCAGTTTCATTCATCTTTTTACTATATTCTGAGATCCAGTTGCTTCTCTCGGTCTTAGATCTCTTGGAATATTCTAGGCTCCAGTGTGCCAATTCCATTCTATGATGGTCAATCTTCACTTGTGTGTATGTCTAGACACAAGCAGGTGACGGCAATGAAGGGCTGACAGCTGAACAGTTGGCTCTCATCCAGCAGATCATGGAACAGACCCGTAGAGCTGCAGAATTGGTTTCCGAGAGGCACGGTTCCAGTGGTAAAGCAAAGGTAATGATCTCATGTATCAGTACCTGGACTGTTTGGCTGTCTCCAAGCATTCCTTCAGTGACCTTTCTTAAACCACTTAAGCTTACCTATTTTACTTAGGTTCTAATTGTTTGCTTCGCTAATGGGTTGACACTTGACACAGTGCCTGTCTCCTGTTCATTCTTGCAGAGAAACTGTACAGCTCCGACAGCTTCCATTTTTCAGTTCTTTGTCTGGATGTACTCCAAGCGTTGGTTCCGATTGTTTGAGACACCTGGGAGAGTGACAGAGCTCCTGGTGATGAGCTGGAAAGTCAGCTAGAGCATTTGTCAAAGTATATCTTTTCTCCTCAAGGTCACATCTCTATCCCTATCTCTATAGATACACCCTCTGAAGATTAACTTACAGTATATATATCCCTGGGAAATCACTATTTCTGCTGACTTGAGTTGGATTAAAGCCTCATATCACAAGTATTGTCTCCCTGTCATCTAAAGCCTGAGTGCTGAAACCACATTTAGGTGGATGACGGGACCCTTAAGCTAAAGAGCTATATTACCCTCCCCCCCCATTAGAGTCCATGGATTTTTAACACATTGACTGCCCATCCCAACTAATATGCTATTGATTCTGCTGCCATTGATGACTAGTTAACTGGACATGAGTAGTCAAAGGTCATTAACTAAAGGAGGTTTTAGCATTTGGGCTGAAGTCTTTAATTAAGACTTTAATGAATATTAATTAGCAAATATTATTTGGATTCTAGTATCTTGAATGCAAGTTTTATATTGTCTCAATCTGAATCTTTAAGTATCCATCTTTACTATCTTCCACTTTTGGTGTACCCCTTTTGTACATTGTGATGTGACTTGATGCTTGGATGATGACAGTCTGGTGACTTTGAAATGATGCCAAAATCCTTGATAATTAAGGAGCCTCTGCCAATTTTCCATGGGAGCACAAATGGAACTCCCCATTTTCCCTGTCTTCTGTCTTCCCATTTCCCCCCCCTCATCCCCATTCCCATCTCATTCCTGGTTCCTTGCCAGCCGGTTCCTGAATAATCTCAATAGTTGGCACCCGGCTCTGACAGTGAACCACTTGGCATATCCATGTAATGTATTGACAAACATGTCTGCCTACCTTGGTGCCATTCTGGCATCTTTCCAGGGCTTCCCTCTTTTGACGAAAGGAGGCCACATCCTGAAGGCTCTGTCTTACTCTCAAGGAGGTTTCATTAGTGGGGACCCTCCTTAAAAAGGGAATATTGGTGTAGAATGCCTCTTGTCATCAGGAAAAAGACTTGTTCATTCTTCACTCCCTTGTTTTTCCTGAAAATGAGAGATCATTTTTCTTCTTGCCATTTACTAGTGCTTTAGCCTGCTCTCTCAGCAACTTCTCCCTGTGATGTATTTGGAAAGAAATTAAGGAGGCAATTTTTCCTTCTGCCTGCTGTGGGGTTCTAAATCATGGTTCTGGTGTTATTTTAGTCTTAAGCATGGTCTCCATGAATTTGTTAATCTCTATGATGATCCCTTTCCCTTTGTAGCATACAGTCTTAAAGATGTCAGATGCCAGCTTCATCCATAGCAGTCCACAGAGTGACCCAAAACCTGTAGAGTGTACCATATGTCAGCGAAAGTTCAAAAACATCCCAGCTCTAAATGGACATATGCGTTTGCATGGAGGATACTTCAAGAAAACTAGCAAAAGTGTAAGTTGTCTTGCTGAAGGTAGATACTTACTAGTTTTGTGTCAGGCCATTTATTCTATTATTGTTCCCAAACCTCTCTATTCAGACTTCAGATGACAAGAAAACTGAAAGGAAGGAGGGAAATGGGTCATCATTACAGACAGCAAGTGTCAATGTTCGGGCATTGATCGAAGAGAAGATCATTCAAAAGAGAAACAATGCTGCTGCTGCTGCTGCTGCAGCTGCAGCTGCAGCAGCCACCAGTACCCAAATAGGTGCACCTGTAGGGAATGGCAATAGTGCCAGTAAGAGCAGTGAAAATGTTGGGGTAGCAGCTTCATCTACAGTTGCAACAGCTGTGATGCCTACAAACATCACTGTTACAGCTCGGATGGCCACATCTATTCCATCTGGTGTTGCTGCAACTGCTACATCTATCACTGTCCTTCCCCCTCCTCCTCCTTATCCAAGTAAGTGACCCTCTTTTTAAAATATTATCCAAATGAGATATATGAGAAATAACTTGTGCCCAATTGCCCTTCTGGTTGTTTTATTGTAGGTCATCATCATAAGTCTCCATCTGGGCAAGGGAGGACCATTGTACTTCACAGCAGTCCTGTTGATAAACAGTCTGACAAGGTGACCATTCAACATGGTATTCTCTCGGTCCCCCCCAAGATACAACCCAAAGGAATGGAGAAGAAACCTGAGGCTGACTCTGTCACTCAGTTACCTGGTGCCAATGCCCTGAGTGATCTTCTTCAGAGACGGCTGTTGAAGAGAGCTCAGCGCATCCTCTCAGATCCAGGTGATGACTTGAGCATTCAGTTGAGCAACTTGCAAGTGCCAAATCTCAGCCTGGTTCTTGGGGAAGAGCTATCGCCAAGCTCAAGCCCTGGAACTGGTCCTCACACTCTTTCATTGTCATCCCATATCACTGACAACTCCAAGCCCCCAGCAACCAAATGTGACACTCAGCTCTCAAGTACTCAATCTCGGGACCAAAGAGGGAAACATGAAGCTAGTTCCAATACCTCAAATGAAGATGCATTTTATCAGACTCAGCTGAGTGCAAGCCTTCTGTCTGAAGTCCCAGTCTTGAACTCAGAAGATCTGCAGGGCCTAGACTGTCACTTGGACATGCCACATTTTCAGACAGAAGTAAAGAATGAGTCCACATCTTCCTTGATGAATCTCCTCCAGGAACAAGTTTCATCTCACCTTTTCAATTACCATGACCTGATAGAATCTGCTGCACAGAAGTTGCAGGCAGAAAATATTGACCTCTTGCAAGCATTTGAGGAATCCACAGGTCAACATTCCAATGCAGCAGTTCAGTTCCCTAACCTGCTCCCATTGGAGCTGACAGATGGAGACCTTCCAAATCCAGACCTTCCTCGTGATCTCCCTCAAGCTTGCTTGGTGTCTTCCACCACCAAAGCGGATGGCCATCCTGTCTTGTCTCCTCTTACAAAGAGTTCCCATTCTCCCTTGCAATCTCCCTGTCATTCTCATCCTTCATCTGTATCCTCTGTAGTCCCTTCCAGCAGCCATCACTTTTCTCCAATTCCATCCCCAATTGGACAGATCTCCCAGGGGAAGGATGACAAGTCTCGTGCCTCTCTGCCCGGCAGTGTCTCGGCACCGTGCCTAAGGCTGGCTTCTCCTTCGCCTTCACCCATGTCAACCCATTCGTTGCCTGAGACTCTCCTCTCATATCCATCCAGCCCCCCCCCTACCAGCTCATTGTCTTGGCCCAACGTGTCTTCTATGGAGAAGCCCCATGGTGGCGAGAACAGCAAGGGAGTTGACCAAATGATGTCCACAGCACCTGATCTGTCATCATGCTTGAGTGCTGAGGATTTGGACGAACTTCTTGTTCATTGCACAGCAGCTCGAGATGTAATCCTCAACATGGATTCAAACTCAAAATCTAACACACGGTTCCATAGTACCAGCATCCTGCCAGATGATACAGACTTCCTCCTCAAGGGTGACAGCCGCTCCAAGCACATGAGCGAATCTGATTTGTTCTCGCCCCAGGATCCACTTCTTCATGATGCAACAGGACTATCTCTCCCAATGGTTAAGATTGAAGACAATTTAGGGTCATCCATCACATCACCCAAGATGGAAGTCTCTTATGACAATGATGATGTCTTCCTCAGTCCTTCCAGGTGATACTGAAAAGTCTGTCATGATGAGATATTTTATTAGACAAGTGTTGTTTAATGTATTTTCTTTTCTTCTTCTTCTGTATAGCATTGCCTCAACCTTGCAATCAGTACCTGTATTGAAAGCAAGCCTTGACCCTCTGCCTATCCTATCATATCCCAGTTCCTCAGTCACATCCACATCCATTTCCAGATGCACTGGATCAGGACATCGGCCTGTAAATTCCCATCGCTTTCTTCCTCAACCATATACCCCTCCTCCTATGCTCAATTCCTCACGACAACTTGTATCTTCCTCGATGTTATCTTCATCAAATACATCTGTTGCTACAGCCTCCATGCACATAAGTGTGACTCAATGGAAGAGGCAGTCGAGTAAGGAAATCCACAATGATGAAAATGTTCATTTAATCACTGTACTTGCACTGCAACTGACTTCTCATCTTGCAGGTACTGTCATTGATTGTTTGGGAGATGAGGCAATGGAACCTTCTTCAAGTGTAGAGGGGGACGTTGAACCCCATATCAACATTGGCAGCTCCTATCAGGCAATCATCCCTCCTTGCTGCACTGAACCAGGGAAAGTTAACAAGGAAGAGGAGAAGGGTGATCTCCTCTGGAGCCCCATCATTGAAGAACGGCACTGTTCCCGTTGGGAAGGTGAGGGAGAATCACACAGGAACTGTGTTAAGGACTGCAAAAGTTTTTGACATCAGAAATAAGGATTTCACTAAAGGTCTTTTGCAGCTTCCCAGAAATTTTTGCTTTTTTGTTGTTGCAAATTTTATGTAAAGGAAGGGGCCATCCATCTCTATGACCTCTTTTCATTGATAATGCATATCTTGAAACTACATTTTTTGGAATTTGCTGCTTCGATTTTAACAGTGAGCATGAAAGAGCATACCTTAAAAAATCCTAATTAGATACAAAGGCAAATATATATTCATATGCACAAATATGTGAGTGCAGAATAAAGTTTGCTTTATTGCACTAGAACCAAAAATATGTAATGAAAATAATCAGGGCATGGGAATTCAGTGACATACTAACTTCCGTATGGTCTTCAAAATGCCCTCAACAGAGGGAAACTATTTGATCAGTAGCATGCACTTGGTATGTATAACTGTTCAACTTTTGATGTACAGATGACTTTATAGAGATTCAAGGATGCAATGAGGAATTAAATGATTCAATTAGACATAGTAGTAGGTATTTCACTGTAACTGGTCTTAAAAGCTTTCCTTATAGGTGGTTATTGAAAAAATCGATGTAAGGTGAGTCTTTGGTTGGGTTTGCAATTCCAAAAATAGTCTGAAACTATTGGAATCTTTGCTGAGTTGCCAGAGAGGTAGAGCTGATAAGGTAGAGCTGTAGAGATGTATGGAGTTTATGCAATTTTGTTTTCACATGCAGTTGACCGGTACCTGAAGTTTGCCTCAAATGCAACATCACCTGCTGGTGGTTGTGGAGTTGAATATGCCCTACACATCCTTTGCATATGTGTGGGAAACATTCGAGTGAGTTGTGATGGCTATTACATTGAATTTTGAGCAACTTGTTAGACTTGTGATACTAACGATGATGACTTTGCTCTTCTTCCCCTTCAGCAAGCAATGTTGTACCTCCTGCAGCCCTGTCCCCCTCTGCCAGTAAGCCATCCCCTCCCAAGGCTGGCTCACCGTGAGTCTGACCGATGGACTCCACAGCAGATGGCTGCATTCAAACAAGCCCTAAGCACCTGTCATAAAGACTTCCGAACTATTGCTGCTCAGGTTTGTCCAAAGTCTCCCAGTTGCTCTGTGGCTCATCAAATTGCAAGATGAAGAAACATTTGTTTATTTCTCCTTGAAGGTACCAGGGAAGTCAGTTGCTCAGTGTGTTCAGTATTACTATCTGTGGAAGAAGATTTGCAGGGAGGAGTACTTTTCACTCCTAAAACGAAGAAAGCCTACTTTGAATGTTTTCTCAAGGACTGCCTCTCATCAAGAATATGGGCAGAGAGCTGGATGCACAGTAAGTGATTCTATCCAACTGGCTTATATCAGAAGGAATGTCAGGCTTGACTCCTGCATGATGGACCTGAATGTATTTGATGGTGTTTCCTGTTTACAGAACCAAGAGATGCAGCAGCAGCAGCAACCAGAATGTGCAGATTCACAGCCTCCACCCCAACGTACCTTGACCTTGAATGCTCAGCTTTCCATTTCTGGACCTTTATCTCCTGGCTGTGATGGCTCTTCATCCAGTCATGCTTCTGAATACCCATGTAAAACATGTGGCAAGTGAGTATATGTCTAATGTGAATAGAGCTTTTGTTGCCTGGTTTCCCTCTGACCATGTGACTTACTGAATTTCAGAATTTTCAACAAGGTGAGGAGTCGAAGTGCCCACATGAAGTGCCACAGGCCTTCGGATGCAGGAGGATCCGAGCCAAAGAAGCCCAAGCTGGAACGTATTAGTCTTGATAGTTTCCTATAACTAGAACGCGTTTTTTTTTTCCTAGCTCACTTGTTCCACGTTTTTACCCTTGCTGGTTTTTAACCTCATTGGGTGAGACATATTCCCAAAAAAGTTCTCCCCTTCTTAGTGATGGTGCCATTCCCGGTGTGAGGTATGGGGTAGATGTTTCTCCTCATCAGATATCTGATATGTATGGTAGTCTCTAATGTCTATTCTCACTCCCACTGTCAACCAGGACAGTTTACATGCTTTTCTTCGTGTGCACAAGTGTGCATTTTCATATTGTTGATTCATGTAATTTGCTTGTTCTCCTCCATCTTGTTCTTCCATATCTCTCCACCTCCTGTCTTTTTTTCCCCCCTTCAAAAAGCTCATCTACTTTGCTAACTGACAATCGCAGTCCTCGTGTCTTAGGATGCAATTTGTTATTTTCAGAGTATGACAAAGAAATTTGCCAGTATATTAGAAGCATAGCATCATGGGGTAGGGAATCGCATGGGACCATTCAGGCTCTTATATTTTTTGTTTTTCATTTCATCACTTCTTTCCTATTTTCCTTCTAATGCGTCCGGTCATCCATTCCTGTCGTGTGCAAGCGTCTCATGAGGCAAGCTCTGTTGAAAGATCTCAGCCAGGAACCACGCTGCATGTGAGCGTGTCATTGGGGCGAAGGAACCATTCTTCTGTGATAAATACCAGTTGTGGACCAAGTTTCTTTTCATTCTTTCCTGCATAGAGTAGACATGAAAGCAGAGTCTTCTCCTACAAGGAAATCCACTGGCATGAAACTTTAAAATCTGGGGAAATTTTTCTTTTTTGCATGCCATGCAATAATAAAATGCTCTTTCCTTAAAGGAATGAAAGGTTCCCATTAGAATTTAATACCTAGGGATTAGGGATTTGATGCCTAGAAAACTGAGACCACTTCATGTGTTTTCCCATGCGGTTCCCTCCCAGATTCTAGCTGAGTACAATCATGGTTTCTTGCGGTTGTGCCAGGGTGCTTGAATGCATATCGCATGCATGCAGTAGCCCTCTGCTTCCTCCTTCCTAGTCAGCACCTCTCATATTCATCCATACATTCATTCATTCCACAGTCCAGGAGGCTTTTAAGTAGGAACTTCTAGTCATTCAAAACCGCCAATGCACGTCTTCACGATGCCAAAGGGGTGCTGATGGAGCTCAAATTCTCTAGCCTTATGTCAATACCACAGGGAAAGCAATTTAATGAGTTTTTACTTCTGTCTTCCAACCAGTTTTTCCTTCTATCTTTTTTTTTTTGGGAAGTCAAATCCCCTATTAATGTTTTTCCTCACCATTTTTGGACCATCCTCTTCCCAGGGTGAGTTTTCTGCTTTGCTGACCTTAGCTCCCTCTCTCACTATTGAATGTGTCTTAGACATCAGTCAAAACTCAGAATGTCGTGTCAGCCACAGCTGGCCTGTGAATCTGTTTTAGTTTTTGGGTTTTTTAGTTTATTAATTTATTTAAGGCAGCTTGATGTGGTCCTAGGTTCTTCCTTTCACCAAAGATAAGTGCCTTGAGTATTTAAGAAGAGGACCTATGAAGATATTCATTCTCGTACTCGATTCCCTGCCCTCTCTCATGGATGGTAGGGAAACATGCATTGACTTATATTGCTCTCTGATCCATGTGTTCAGGCATTGAGTGCTTGCCATGATTTTTCGTATTTATTTTGCCATGTCGTTCACAGCATGAAGTTTTGCCTCGGTGGATTGTCTACTTCCCATGCCCACAGCTACTTTGTGTGTACACAAGCGATGCACCAGATAGTGCAGAGATCCCTCTAATATTTAAAATTCCACTTCTCATCCACAGAGGAGTTCACAACATATTTCTCTTATTCGCATCTATTCTGTATATTCAATCACACTCTGTTCAGGTTTTTGGCTGAGCCCAAGGGACTGAAGATACATTGAATATCCCAAGCTTTCATACCTTTTCACCCTTTTTTTCTAATCCATGCATCATTCTCGACCAAGATTTTCTTTGTTCTCATTCAGGAATGAATTCTGCATATGGATCGTTACAGAGGAGATTGAATCTTTTGTGGGTTTTGTCATTCCCAGGGAAAGGCTATGAGTGCTAGAAATTCACCTTCATTGAAGGTTCCCTCAAATCTTGAGTTTTATTGGGTTTTTTTTTTTCTCTTGCAGTAGGTGCTTTTTATTGTCGTGATCCTTGAACCTACCTTACCCACCCTCACTCCTTGTTTTTGTATCCATTTGCATTTTGATTGATCTCAATGTTGTGGATTTGTAAGTATTTTTGTTCAATGTGTTATGGCGAGTTTTAATATTAATATATGAACCTGAGAGAGAGGTCGAAAGAGTCTAAGCTACTGGAGTGCCATTAGATGAATCAGAAGGGTTTTCTCCTTTGTTCAGCTTTAATTGCAACTTAGCCCACCTAACTTTTGCAACAGCCCACTTATGGAAAAGAGGAACAATGCAGAAAGGTGGATAGGCTTATATTTTTTCAGGATTCAACAGCTAAAAGTGGAGTGCCATTTGTGTGCAATAATGAATTTCTGCGGGTTTGGAGAGTTCATGCCGATCTTTGCCATCGGGAGATGATTCTGTAAAGTGGGAATCAAGCTCTGTGATAAGAGGTAAGGGATGATAATTATGTACTGGCACCGGTAGAGGTGATGGCAGATGTGTTCGAAAGATCTTAGGAATCTTGGAAGCTCAAAGGATGCCTGGCACAAGAGTCACTTGACCGCACATTCCAATCGTCACCCGCCTCGGGACGTGACAAAGGTTACGCACATGCACGGCGTGAACTCTCCAAATTCACAGGATCAATAATAAGTGAATGCGTGGAAGCAACAAACCCATCTGTAGGGTTTATTTTCAAGGCCTGCTGGGACTTTTTTTCTCCTTGCAATCACGTGTATGGCAGTGTGATCCCACTTCATCGTGTCTCTTGGCCATAATCATTAAAGCTTGAAATTACGTGAACCCGATGTCCAGATTAGAACTTTTACCTCATCCACCTATGTTATCTTGTGAGTTGAACCTTGATCGTGATGCTCTTCATCAATGTAGCAGTTTGATGTGATTTGCAACTCAAGCATAATTACATTGACTGAAATACAGGTTTTCACACCTTCCCGTCCATTGGCTTTTCATTGGGTGACATGCATCGCAAAAGTCGTGATTCTGTTGAGATATGTTCTCGGCTGGCGTGATGACAGAGCTCATCATTAATCACAATGAGCTGGAGAGCGTAATTAATTCTCAATCCTAGGGATTGAGAATTGATGAGAATAAATGCATCCTCCGAAAAAAAAAACTCACTCGAAATCATTTCGGGAAGTATGGCATGGCCAAATCCCGCAGAATTTATGCCTCGTTGCTTATCCTTCTATCTCAACGACGGAATGAAATGTGTCATTTCTGCGAAATTGGCTTCGAAATCAATCTCCAGCCTCTCAGCTCGGAACGACGAAATCCCATTACATTCCTATGACATTTTTCGTCTGGTTGCCTGAGCTCCAATTGCGCGGCGAGCGTCGTTGCTTCGTGGTCTCGATGGGATTTCGAGGCGAACTCGAGAGAATCCTCGATTCGTCGATGAAAAAATACGTAAAAAATAGTGTGGGGGGGGGGGGGGCTCCCCGGCATCGAGGGGAAAGGGGATAGGATTTATTTTTCTTATTTTCCTCTGGGGATCGTCACGTTCAAAATGCATCAACATGAGTCACTACGGAAGCCTTATCGCTGAGCCCAGGCGAGGAGTTCACGGGGTTCACAATTTCAATCAAGCGAATCGTTTCGTATTTGACATTTCATTTGGACGCGACAGCGATCGCGTTTCCAGCTCGGTATTATCAAGGCCCGGAAAATTTTTCCTCTCGATATTCATGATTCCTCGACCGGCATGCTTTCACACGGCATCCACAACGCCACATCTTACAGCGAGACTCGATGAGAACCTTCGATGCATCCCGAGTGCCCCGACAAACTCAAGAAGAGTGAAGCGAGACTTGACGGCTTTCACTCTGACGTGCCTCGCCCTGCCTTCACCGGCATATTCGCCCCCATCGCACTTCCCACTCACTCGCAAGCTCTTATTTGTCATAAAATCGATGATCCATGTTCCTTTCCTCGCCCAGCTAGGGGAACGAGAGGATCCAAGAGCCTCCAGCAGTCCTTAACATTTTTCACATTTGAAATGAGCGCGTAAACGTGTGGCCACCGCGTTCTCATCCTCTCAAGAGCGCCATAGGCTGAAATTTATGGGCAAAATATGGGCATATTGACTATGGACGCAAGGAAATATGGACAAATATTCGAAGTATACATGTCTACATGACAATGCTGCAAATACCCTCAGCCACCTTAAGCCAAGGCGCCAATCGAGACAGTGAGAGTGTGGCCTACTACTTTTGACAAGCGGAAAAGAGCGGCTTTAGCTACTATTCAGCATTATTAATTGAAAATATATACTGTATATTTACGATTTTAAAATATGGACAAAACAGTGTCCATATTTAGACCAGTCTGCGTTTAGACATAGCGTCTTAAATGTGTACTGTCCATACTAATTATGAACGGGTGGTAACCCTGTCTGAAGTTCGGAGACGGGTGAGAGCCAGCTAACCTTCGTCCATTCCCCCTTCGGTATCTCTCCACGGGGGACATCTATTGGGAGTTGAGTGAAGCCGAATAACGGGCGGGAATCCTCTCCACCCTGGTCGTGCCAATAGTGGTGACGCGATGAAAAAGCAAGGGTGGTCCCGTGTTATCGGATTTCGGAAATTCTCGAGAGCCGAGGTACCTGCTCTTGCCATCGGCCCGACTTTTCCTTTGAAACTCATTTCAGACGAGTTTGACGGGACTTCGATTCCACAGTAGGCCAAGAGATTGATTACAGTGCACTTGAATTCAATTCATGCCTTCCCTTGGTAATGGGATCCATTACCCCAAACTGGGTTGGGGTGAGGGAGCGTATCGAAGTGCATTATCTCAATCGTCTACCTCGTGTAGAAGATTCTCGGTGTGTTAGACGGGAGACGTCGTGGGATCGTCCTGTAGCTGCACGTTTCAACCTCAAATTCAATCTCGTTCAACAAACAAAGTGAAGGTGCAAGACTTGGTATTACATAATTATTGTAAAACGATAATAGATACCTTTTACGACTTCAGTGGATCTTGGATTGTCTTCAGAGCTGTGCAGTAACGTGTTACAAGCAACGCGTTACTGCAAATACGTTACCAAAGTCATTGATGAGAATCGGTAACTCGTTCCTCCCCAGTTTAAAATTCCGGCTGGAAACAACTACATTTTCCAACTGGGCTCCAGCTGGAAATGAGATTGAATTTACCAGCTGGAAATTAGTCTGGAAACATAAAAAAAGTGATCCAATCCAGCTGGGTATTAGATGGGTTTGACCAGTTG